TCATCATCATCCAGATGTTGGTATGTTTCACTTTCTTGAGCAAATGATGCATACATGTCTGAAACAAAATTTGAAAGGTTAGGTTAGTAATAGAAATTACACATGTCTACAAAACTGATGACCAATAAGTGGTAACATCTTTCGAATGGTTCATATTTTTTGGATCTGTGGTAGGATTCGAGTTTTCACAATTACAAATACTCAGCTTCTCAATGCCCACTATATAGCCTCTTTACTCGGAGAAAAGGCTCTAAGTTCCTAAAGACACAAAGTATTAATAATTCCATGTATTGGTTAGAGATTCTTCCAATTTTAACAAAGAAAAAAGAGATTATAATTCCGATAATGAAAAAATGTCTGAAATATTAATGTCCGCAAATCGATGAAATATAATGTTTGCGGGAAATATTCCGTTGTATTCTAATATTTCTATAATGAGTTTGAGCATATAGGAGATTATCAACATGCAAAACAAAAAAATGTTGACAAAACATTGTGATAAAAAATTGCGAAGTTGATGATTTTTTTTTAACATAAAGATGATTTAAAAAAATATATTATCGCATGTATATATCTTAGACAGTTTCATTTTTAATTATCCACATTTTTTCAGTAATTTTCTTAAAACATTTTAACTAGAATATATTTTTTCAGATGGACATTCTAAAACCCTAAAAAATCACTAGTTGTTATAATCATTAAATTAATATTTCATATCGCGCATTCACATTTTGTAGTGCCTGTTTTTTTGCTGCATTTTTTTTTATTTTTACACATTTTTATACCATGCAATTATCATTTACCAAAAAGAACATAGCTATCCACTAACGAAAATTAGAATGACAATCTAAAGATGTACCAAACCAGCAGAAAACCAAGCATAACCAAGTCTAATAACCGAATATATATCTTTCGAAATCTCAAATTTTGGTCTTGCAGTGAACTTGACCACAAGTCCACAACAATATATGAATGAGATGACGGATGTAGCTAAGCTAGAAGCCCAATCTCTCAATTTCTCTCAAATTAATTTCTGTAAAAATTAAATAATTATTGAAGATTAATACTTTAGAGTTTTAGGAAATTAAAATTAAAATATCCTTCTATGATCTCACAATTGCATAGCGCATCTCACCTTTGCATCAAAACCACTAATTAATAAATGTGTCATCCGTAGGGTACGTCAATTAGTGCAAATGAGCCTCATTATGTTTTTGATTAGAAAAAGGTTTAAGAGTTATATAGTTTTATTGCAAACGCAACTGCAAACGCAATCGCATTTTCTCTCTCTCTCTCAGGGCGTTGGAAGGTGAGCAAAGAAAGAAACGTCTACAAATAGACATAATGAGTGGGAAGCTTAGGGTTTTTGAAGAGAAAAGGAATTGGGTTTGTTTTTGGGATTCTCAAAAAACTCAAAAC